CATCCCATCACCACCACCCACCTGCCTCACAGGTCCGCGCCGTCGACACGCCGACGGTGACTGTGACCCAGGTGGTCACCGAGACCGCCCTGGTGCACCACAGCGAGCTCTTTGAGACGTCCATATCCGGCGGCGACAGGGGCGCGCTGCGGGACTTCTGCGCCACAAAGGCGGCTGCCTCGCAGGTGGGGGCGGCCCCGCTCGCCCGCCTTGGGTGCTTACACTCGTGCTTGTGTACGCGCGCGTCGCCGTCAATTGCCTCATCAGTGCCTCGGCCTGAAAAATTTTCACTAGCCTGGTGGAGGTGCAGAGGCTGAGGCAGAAAAAGGAATGGCAGTAGCCGAGCTGTAGTCGAGCTGTTTGTTGGGCTTCTGCAATGCCTGGCTGCAGTCCTCCCACCCCTGCCCGGCTCCCCCTTCCATCACAACTGAGCAATGGCGCCGCACCCCGGCCCCTCGCTTTTTTGTAGGGCACCGAGGAGGCCGAGACCTGGACGTTCATGGGCGTGCTGTTTGAGGACGACCCGCGCCGCCTGCTGCTGCAGAACCTCGGCTTCTCCGACGCCCTCGCCGCCGCGCAGCAGCAGCGCGCCGGGACGGTCGCGCGCGCGAGCAGCGCGGGCGTCGCGTCGGCGGCGGAGCACCTGGCTACTGCGGTGGAGCAGATGGGGCTCGGCGACGGTGCGTGTGCGGGTTAAAAGCATAGCTACAGATGGACGAGCGTGCAACCGCATGCTGCATCGTCGTCCCTGCCGCCTGCACGCCTGCGGCGTTGTATCGCCGTTGATGTTCACTGCTTCACGTGCGGGCGGTTGCTACGGCCGCGTGCGCGCAGGCAAGGCTAGCGCGGAGCCGCCGCTGGGTGGCGGCGAGGACTTCTTCAACCAGGAGGGAGACAACCCAGAGGGCTTCTTCGACAACCTGCCAGACGCCCCACCCCCCGCCCCCGCGCCGCCCCCGCCCCACGCCGCCGCCAACGCCGCCGACGCGCACCGCCGCGCGAGC